CACCTTAGATAAGATACCTGTGCAATCACCTTGGGATATCAACATAATGAAGCATATCCTCTGCATCTGTTAATAGCTACTTCATAGCAGTTGAGTGGGCTTTAATCAGAAACCTGTGCTTTAATTATGACCTCTGAATTAATGAAAAAGCACAGAGGTGTGCAGAGTCATATCTCAGCTCCCAGAAGTGTGGGGGTGGAGAGAGACATGGAAATGTGACCCCAGCACACTGAGTCAAGAATAAAAGGCAATATGCAGAACACCACCATCCTGCTTGTAAGGGCAGGGAGAGCTGGTAACACACACACATCCACACCACAGCTGTCACAGCCTTTGAGACAGCAGGTAAATCCAAATTTGCCAGGACCACACTCACTAACTTGCCACTTACATTTGGATTTAGTGGCTCAAGAACACCAGTAGACAGTAGGATGTGTTTAACCAGGGGACACCTGCAGCTGTTCCAAGCACTGAGCAGTACTTTTCTCTGGTGATCACCAAGGCATAGCAGCAACTGTTTGGTGGCAGATGAGCCTGTGTCACCGTTGCCCCTGTATTGCCACAGATCCCTGTGAACACCTCATGTTCACAACGAGTAGGTGAGTAGGAACACCTCATGCAGGTGGCTCTGGAGTTTTGGACCTCTTCTGCAACTTCACTGGAAACAGCATTTCCCCCTCCCATCCTCAAGCCCACCACCCAGGCAGCTGGGCTGCTGTTTCCAGGCTGTCAGGCCTCCCCTGCCTCAACTGGCTGCACGGCGCCTCCTTGCAGAAATGAGGACCTCCACAGAGCAACCCAAGCCCTCCAGATCCCCTTCTAGAGGCAGAGCTGTACAGCCACATCACCAAAGGAACCTCCCCCTAAGCACGAAGTGTTTTACCAATAGAGGCTTTTGCACAATGAAGTAGGAAGCAAAGTAATCAGTGCTCATGTGGCTTCATCACAATTTCCCAACAAAAGGGCTCACATGAAGTATAATTTAGTATACCTTTAGTATAATGGATGTTGTCTTCATTTTGATGCAGTTTTAGAAGTGTTGTCATTGCTCAGAAGTCTAGAAAGCGCTCTCCAAGGTGACACACAGGTGCGTGGCTGATAGGTCCTGAGCTCACTCACCTCCACATGAGCCCACACCCATGTCACCTCTTTTCCTGGAGTCCCAAGCAGGACACAAAGCTGTTTCTGGACATTCAGTCTATACCAGTTACCCAACCCTTCAATCTCCCTGAGGTTTCACGAACGGATGGCTCAGTTACCTGCAAAGCAGCTCCTGGGCCACAGCACTTCATAAACCTATGCAGGAGGGTAAGCCAAAGTGAGGGGCACTGCTGCTTAATAAACTCACTGAGGCAGGTCAGCAGCTGGTTTTCAGGCAGCAGAGATGTCCTCAGAGTAGCGTAAGTCATCCTCACGTACCATTCACCCTATCTTCAGACGGAGCAGCAGCCAGCAGGAGAAAAGCTGGCTCATTGAAATGTTCCAGCTATCCATACAACAGTATGCAAGGCATCCCCAAGGGAGCAGAAACATCTTAACTGAAAAGAAAGTACAAGGCAGCTTGGAGATGGCATTCCAAGAAAGCTGGTTAGCACGAACCAAGACCAGCAACAGCAGTGCCCAGGACTAAGCTGGGAGGCCTGACAAGAAAGCTGCTCTTGTGCAAGAAAAGCAGCAGCAAAAATGAGACAGAGTTGAGCTGAGAGTTTCTTGAACTCACAAGTTTCCTCTGTACCCCTGCTATAACAGAAGACGTGTGGCAGGCCATGATAGCGTTCATCTACACAGACAAAAACAAGCATTGCTGCTAAAGAGAGTCACCCACTGCCATCTCCACGTCAAGCCTGTCACATAACTCTTCACTCTGCACTACAGGTAGAACAAGGTGTGTAAATGGAGAAATGTGCAGTGATCTATCCTCCAGATAGCAGATTGCCATTCTCCCAGAAAGTCATTCCCAGAGTCCCAGGAAATCACTTTCATCCCTGCTGGGAGGTGACATGAAAGATATGCAAGTTGCTGTGAATGATGCTGGATATCTGAATACGCAACTTTTAACTTTAGTAAGGGAAGTTTAGAAAACTATATTAAAAAACAAAAACCCTAGATAACAAGCTCAGGGGCACCGCAGTCAAACTTCTGAGCTATAGAATTTTTGCAGCTTGGGAAAAGGTTCCTACTTAGGTCCAGTTCTGCATTTACTTTATTTTACCGGGTTCAAACTTAAACAGGGGAAGTTCAGGTTAGATAGAAGGAAGAAGTTCTTTACTGTGAAGTTGGTGAGGCACTGGAATGGGTTGCCCAAGGAAGCTGTAAATGCTCCATCCTTGGCAGTGTTCAAGGCCAGGTTGGATGGAGTCTTGGGTGACATGGTTTAGTATGAGGTGTCCCTGCCTATGGCAGGGGAGTTGGAACTAGATGATCTTAAGGCCCTTTCCAACCCAAACCATTCTATGATTCTGTGATTCTATTTTCCAAACATGTCAGGCTCATTAATGACATTATTGCCATAGCTCATCATCACCCAAATCCATTTAAAGCTTAAGATGGAGCAAGAGTAAGCAACCACTATGCTTCCTGCTTTCTTTTCTTCCTCCAGCAGCTGATCAAGGTTATTAACAAGACTCATGTTTTTTGACCTGTATTAAGGACAGAAGAGATACTGTAGTCATCAAAAACTCAGACAAAAACAAGCCCCAAACCAAATTAAAACTCACCTATCAGACCACAGAAAATGTTCCAGCATCTTGAGCTTGACAGTCTAAAGGGATGATCTGGAGGCAATTATTAACCCAAACAGCAGCTTTTGCTCTGAGACTGGATGTCCCAGGAGTTGGCTCAACATGAAAATTTACTGTTGCAATTTAGCATGGACTAGGCAACATGAACATACATGGGAGCCAGCTATCACACCAGAAAGAGCAAGCCTTAGAGAATATGCAGGGGGACTAATCTTGAGATCTGTGGGGAACAGGACACACTACGGGTTGTAGTAAGCAACCATCTGTAGCTGATGTGGGAAAATTAGAGGCATTTGCCAGCAACAGAGGATGCTATCATCTGTTCTCTTACAATTCCAACCTCTGCCCCCAAGCCAGCCGTGATGCTTCATTTCTCTCCATCTTCCAGTACATGCCCTACTCCCCTGAGCACTCTTCAAAGGCAAATGGGAAGAGGCAGAGTAGCATTTTACATGTTCTCTCCTCCCCCCGTACACCTGCGTATTCCTCCACTCATGGAACATTACACCATTCCTTAAGGCACAGACACAATGGGCAGATCAAGATGATCCAGGCTTCTTCAAGCTATTTAAGCTTCCCTCAGACTCACCTCAGTGCATTCAAGCAACAAAGTATGCAATTACCTGGAAAGGAAAAGTGGTTTCTAATCGCTTCAGCAGTAACAAGAGCCACTCAACTGATGGATAACACTACTAATGTTGCCACAGTTATATAAATACAGTATACATATATTGGATTTGTGTAGCAAGGTTTTGGTAACAGGGGGGCTGCAGGAGTGGCTTATATGAGAAGTTGTTAGAAGCTTCCCCCTCTGTCTGGTAAAGCCAATGCTGGCCAAAGCCAAGCCCATCAGCAACAGGGGTAGCACCTCTGTGACATATAACATAGTAAAGAAAGAGAAAACCCTCCAAACTGCACAACAGCAACTACAGCCAGAAAGAAAAGTGATAATATATGGTGGACTGCAGACACCAAGGTCAGTGCAGAAGGAGAGGAGGTGCTCCAGGTGCCAGAGCAAAGATTCCCCTGCAGCCCATGGTGCAGCCCATGATAAGGCAGGCTGGCCCCATTCAGCCCATGGAAGTCCACAGTGGAGCAGATCTCTACTTGCAGCCTAGGGAGGATCCCACACTGGAGCAGAGGGATGCCCAAAGGAAGCTGTGACCCTGTGGTAAGCCCATGCTGAAGCAGGCTCTGGGCAGGACCTGAGACCCTGTGGAGAGAGGAGCCCACACTGGAGCAGGTTTGCTGCAGGACTTGCGACCCCACAGGGGAGTCATATGGAAGCAGTCTGTTCCTGAAGGGCTGTACCCCATGGAAGGGACCTACGCTGGAGCAGTCTGTTCCTGAAGCACTGCACATAGGGAAAGGATCCACGCTGGAGCAGTTTTTGGAAAACTGTCTCCCATGGGAGAGACCCCACACTGGAGTAGGGCAAGAGTGAGAGGAGTCTTCCCCTGAGGAGGCAGGAGCAGCAGAAATGACAGTGAACTGACCACAGCCCTCATTCCCCATCCTCCTGCACCACTGGTGGGGAGGAGATAAAGAATTTGGGAATAAAAACAAGCCCAGGAAGAAGGGGCGGGAGGGAGGGGAGGTGTTTCTAAGATTTAGTTTCATTTCTCATTAATGTGCTCTGACTGGATTTGTAATAAATTAAACTAATTTCCCCAAGTTAAGTCTGTTTTGCCTGTGATGGTAATTGGCAAGTGATCTCTCCCTGACCTTATCTCAACTGATGAGCCTTTTGATGTATTTTCTATCCCCCTGTCCAGTTGAGGAGGGGGAGTGATAGAGCAGCTTTGGTGGGCACTTGATGCCCAGCCACTGTCAACCCACCATATACAGCAAGATACATGGGAATTCTTGTAGGAAGATGATCATGATTCCACTCCATTATTACCTTTTTATTGTTGAAATAAAAACAACAATAGGATAGATCTTAACAGAGGGGAAAAAAAGGATGTTTCACAAGGAGAATGAGAAGTAGTTTCTACTGGTCTTTCAATTCCTTCAGTCTTCTGATGGCAGATTTGACCGTCACTGCAGAGGTGGTACTGGAAGAAGCAACAGAATCATTTGCAAGTGGCAGCAGAACAACCCATGACAGTGTTATTTTCTCGAGAAAGCATTAATCTTTCCAATAGTCACAGTCTGACTGCTTCACAAGCTACATCCTAGCCTGAGTTAGCCAGTCATGCATTGACTACATGCACAAGCACATGGGCTTGGATTACTAGTGACTGTTACGTGTGGGGCAACAGTGTCTTCTACCAGGATTGTGGGGGAAGGAGAGTAAAGAGAGTAAGCAAGAGCACCATTAGAAGGACTAATTCAATGTTTTTAAATTAAAGGAAAACATGGAAATAATTTTTCTTGGGAGTAAATCTGGTTTTGCCTATTGTAGCTGTGCCTCTAATGGAAAAGGCTGGGAGTGTAAACACAAAAAAAGTGCTGCTTAGTCTCTGAAAGAAGAGGTAAGAGTTCCCTCACACAATTAAGATTTTTATACAGCCAAAAGAATCAAGAAAGGAAAAATAAACCCCAGGTCTAATACAGTATCCCCAGAAGCATGATTTATTAGCAGCTGTTGAAGCTCTTTTCACAGTAAGTCAGTAGGGCATGTCAAGTGTCATCCACCCAGATGACTCCACCCTGAAATAGGTGTATGAACCAGCCATTCTCTCTGCTGCTTTTCTTCCATCACCAGAAAACTGGCCCAAGCCTAGTATCTCACAAAAGCAGCAACTATAGTTTACAGCTTCACTAAGAAATGACACTACAGCTGAGGCACAGAACAGACTACTTAAAAATAGCATTTGCACGTTTCTAATTCATTTGGGAAAAGATGCAGTGCTTGCATTTCTGAAGTAAACAACTGCTTTCATAAAGCCCAGCAAGATGAATAAATTTTGGAGGGACCCACCAAAATCAGCAGGAGTAACATGGTGGGTAAAAGGCAACATTGTCAGAAGCTGCACAACAGACACTGGAAAGGACAGCAATCAAACCCAATTTGATCCATTCCAATCAAATCTTAAATGCATGAAAAAAAACCCACATATCACTCACTGAAGACAGATCTACTAAATGGTTAGTAGACTAACATGGGGGGGGAAGAAAAAAGAAAAAGAAGAAAGCCATCTTATGCTTCCGTTACATGACAATAAATGCCAATAGGAGCTTCTTGATTTCCTTACTTGTAAGTCCAAGCACCACCAGCAACTGTCTTCATGCAGGATCCACAGTGCCAGATACCCACAGCCTTCCTCTTCATTTTGGTCTGTAATAAAAGGGAAAAAAAAAGAGTAAAACACTATCAGCTGAAAAAGCCAAACAACTGGACCCACTTTGAATAGCATCTAGTGAGTGAGTGGCGGGTACTGAGCTCCCATCACCCAGGAAAAAGGAAGCTCTCTTCCTCCTCCAGGTAAGCCGTGAAGTTACTGAAGAAGGGGGGAAGCCCAAATTCATGTCTTAATTAACTGGATAGTAAGTGTGTTAATTGTTAGGTCTTTTCATTAGATACCTAAAATGTATAGTATGATAACATTTATGTAATGAAATATAATTTGTTTTCATTTAACTACCACTAAACACACACGTGAAGTTTCTACTATTTTTATTTTATAAAGGCTCTGACAGTAGCCCGAAGCTCACAATACACTAATCACTGTCTCAAAACTAGTGGAGTCCTCTTCAGCAGAAAAATTACCAAAGCATCAAATGATATTCCTAGCATCAGCAACAAAGTTATTTGTAAAGACTTTAAGGGGAGGAGGTCTCTCACCTTGCCACAGAAGGAGCAGGTATACTTGGCATGCTGGCTAATCTCGATCTTCTTCACCATTTTCCTAAGGGATGCACCGTAACGCGTACCATATTTACCCACAATCCCAACCTTCTTGGTGCGCTTAGCCTGTGGGGAAACAAACCCAGAACACGTTCAACTTTACCGAGACCACCATCTCTTCTGTTGCTCCCCTCTCCTGACACGACATCAAGGCGCTCGGCACTCAAAACTGACGCCGCAGCCGACCGACGCTTCTTCCTGATGCTGTAATTAAGCGCAATAGTTGTGCAAGGCCGGGAAGCTCACGCTGCGCAGCCTCCCAGCTCCTACCGGGGC